AAAATATGTATATAAAAAGAGAATTTTCAACTGAAAAAATCCAATTGGAATTCAATTATACCCTGTATACTAACTAGTTCAAGTTTTAATTTGTTGTATATTTTCAACAGGTCTGGATGCAAAAATAAAGACGATAAGTGCAGTAGAGTCCAGTTATAACGACTCCGCTTATAGCGTTTGTACGCTTATAGCGACGAAAATTCTGGTCCCCAGACAAACTTTTATGGGCAAACTTTTACGGTCATAGCGCCCTCCGGGTATAACGACGGTTCCTTTAGTGTCGTTATAAATGGATTCTACTGTATTTATATAAATAAATTTCTCCGAGTTTATTAATCCTTAAATTTTATAATTCTAATTTTGGTAGTCTTATTATTACATCTCTCTTAAAATCTGCTCCTGTCCAGATCAACCCATTTTTTTTTTACGAATAATATGATTTCTATTAAGTTTCATTTAGTTAAGAGAATACTTGATGAAGCGCAAAACTAGAAATATAAAGAAACGGCGCATTGCTTTTTATTTGAAATTAAAAGATATTATCATTAAATACTGTTAAGATTTCAGTATGGAGTAATTTGTATATAAATTCTGTGTAAATTGGATTTGAAGACAATATATCTTAAATGAATCGAAAGTTAAATTTAAAAAATGTTAATAAATATAACGGTATAATAGTTGAAGACACATTAGATGAGTACACTCAATAGATATGTGTACGTGTATATATAGATAGATATGCACATATGTACAACATATACTATGTATATAAGTCGTAAATTTCTTCTTATCTGTCTGATTGGGCAAGCCCAAAGCGCTGAGCAAGTTGACATAGTGAAACGAATTTGTGTTTCTCACAACATTTGATAAGCCCGCTATAAATAGATAAACGTGTGAGTATATACCCAACGGTATAGCTAGCCTCTATATAGATAAAGCCTCTAATTTACCTAAGTACATTGCATATGGGAAAACACAGCTAGCAGTAAGCTCAAAGCTCCGTTAGCTGCGTACATATCCGCATAGGTGTGTGTGTGTGTGTGTGTGTGTGTGTGTGTGTGGGCGTGCCGCATACGCCCCTTAGAGCTAATCAGTATGTGACCACATCTTGTCTCTATGGAATTTTCTTTCTTAGTGCTCCTTATCGACATGTTCTGTCTCACTCTAACAACTGGCATTCGGCATAGTTGCATTCCTTTCAGTCTCATGGGCGTCCGGCTATTGCTGCGCTGCTCAGAGCCGTATGTGAGAGGAGAGCCGACAGCCGTTGAACCACCACGACTCAATGTTGTCGTAGCTCTGGGTCCTGTGCGTCCAGCTGGGCTGATGGAGGCGAGCGCAGAGCTCACAGAAGGGCGAGAAAGTCGCCAGGTGATAGTGCTCGCGCCACCAGAAGTAGCTGATGTACTCCGCTTTGTCGGCAGCCACGAAGCGCATGTGCTGCGCCAGCTCCTCAACGCTATCGAAGCGATTCGCATCGATGTACGAGTGCGGCGGCAGGAAGCGGCTATAGTTGGCGCCGCCAAACACAACGGGCACTATGTGGCGCTGCAGTGCATCGTACAGCTTCTCGGTGACATAGTCCGTGCACAGCGAGTTCTCGAAGGCCAGGTAGAACATGTAGTCCGTGTCCAGCATCTCGCTGCAGTGCGGATCGTCGCGTGCACAGCTGCAAGCAGAATGGAATTGAATCTCCGGCCAGAGTCGCAAGCCTTCGCGCTACTCACTTGAGTGTGCCGCACTTGCCGTAGATGTCCACCTGGATGTGCTTCTGCAGTGCGGCAGCGAGCTGTTCCCGCTCCGACAGCGTCTGGCAGTGGGACACGAACCAGGCGGCCATCTTGGTCTTGGTGTGCCACAGACTCGCGACAGTGCTGTCGTTCCAGCTGCCCAGGGCTGGCGGCTGACGCCAGTGGGGAAAGGGCGCGGGCGCTATGCGTGCTCCTGTGAGCGTGTCCAGCACGTGGGCATAGGGCCAGACGATGTCCGAGTCCAGGCGATAGGTCATGGTCAGATTATAGAAATGCTGTTCGTCGCTCAGCCGGTGCTTGGTCTCGCCCGGCGGCTCCAACAGGGCGAAGACGTACGCCTGATGTGGACTGCGGCGTGCGGGCAGCGGCAGCAGCACCGGAAACGGCTGCGCCACATGGTAGACGATGGCATCGTACAGCTCCAGGCTGGGCAGGTACTCGTGTCGATTGCTCAGCTCACACTGGTACACCGGGCAGCCGAGATCCTCTCGAAACTGTTGCGGCCCGAGCGTATCGTAGGGCAGACTCCAGCGCCGATTGCCAAAGAAGCTGCTCCACAACAGAATCGTACGCGTCGCTGGTCGCCTGGCCACGCCCACCTGCCCGCCGACCAGGTACTCGCGCAATATGCCATTCTGATTCACCAGCGGCGAATTGTTAATCTTGTAAATCAGCGCACCGAACAGGAACAGGCAGAGCAGCACCAGAGTTAGCGTGCGTCGCATTTGCAGGCGCATATCCAATGCTCACCTAGTTTTCGTTCTTTCCGTTGGAGAAGGCAGCAGGCAGCAGGTAGCAGGCAGCAGGCAGCGAGCAGCTTGAACGGTCATCGGCAATTGGCATGCCCGTCGGATTGCATGCTCCAGGCGTCCGTCCGAGTGCTTAACTGCGATTAGTGGCCGTTGTCGCCTGCCTTTTTGCTGTTCATAGACTAATTGTGTTTGCCTAATGTGCTGTGGTGCTGTTGGTGGTGCTGACGGTGTGAGTCAACGGCGACTACCTGTGAACGTGTTGACGATTAGGCATTATTGATTGCTGTGTCAATAATAAGCAAATGTACTCACACCTTGCCTTCCCTCGATTCACCAACTGATAAGCGGACTTATCAACTGATAAACCGCCAGCCACAGAGAGCGTCAATTGTGTGGCTAATGCTATCAGGGAAGAGATTAGATAATATACAATGGGCTCTGTCCCAAAATGCGCTCAGCTATATAGGACAATCGACTCAAGTAATGTCGCTAGCCAGTGCTTAATTTAAGTTAGTCTAAGACCAAGATTAATAATTTCACATTTAATTAATTTCATTCAAGGCATTTATTGATTACAATTGTAATAACAATATTAAGGTTTCATTTATTTAGAATACACTCGTTGTTCTGAAGCGTCTTAAATTGAGTCTCTCCTCATTTGAACTGTTTTCTACTACTTAAACCTTATGATCTATATATGAGTGTTTTAAGCGTACTTCCACTTATTGAAAGGCTCCAAAATTTCATATGTCTGCATATCGAACACACGTTTTGCACCTGTGCCTTTGTCTCGCATATCAAGTTCTTGGGATATCAAAGCTTAACTTCTACTCTCAATGAAAACTCGTTGTCACTCTCGTACTTATATTAACTTGAACTACAGTATATACATATACATATATATAGTTAATATATTTAGCAAATTTGTACACGAATTTATGCTGCTTGGCTATGGCCGCAGTGAGAGCAGCGCTCGAGCTGATCTCTCCAGTAGTTGGCAGAGCAGCGCAAAGAGCGTGACGAAGCCATAGGCCAGCCATGTCTTCAATATCAAGATTAAGGGCTTCATGCCAGACGCCTAC